TGTGCCCACTTGCACATGCGCACACACCCATGCTCAGGTGTGCACAATCAGGCACACCTGCCCCACACCCACACACTTTCTGTCTTGACACGATCAGGGCCACAGGTGATAGCCACAGAGCCTCGTGGTGTAACGAGCCTGACTAATTCATTTACCCTACAGACAGGTGTGGCTGTTGAAGCAGGAGGGACCGAATGCATTTTCTTGATGCAGACATGGCTGTGTGGGGCAACTCTTTGTTATTCTCCCACCCACCTGCCCGATGTGGCCAGCCACCGTGTGGTGCGGGCACTTCCTGCCTGTGCCACCGCGGCCCCCGTGTGGCCAGGTGCTCCTGCTCCTCAGGCTGTGGTACAGCAGGAGCTGATCCTTTTCTGTCTCTCTCCAGGGTCAGGTATGGATTAACGGCTTTAACGTGGGCCGCTACTGGCCAGCCCGGGGGCCCCAGCTGACCCTGTTTGTGCCCCGGCACATCCTGGTGACATCAGCCCCAAACTCCGTGACTGTGCTGGAGCTGGAAAACGCGCCCTGCGACGGGGACCCGCAGCTGTGCACAGTGCTGTTTGTGGACAAGCCAGTGATGAAGTAGCTGCGCTGATTTCATCACCCTGTGATCGCAACTCGCCACCAGACCACGGTGATGGCTGAAGACTGTGACCCTTGGGGGGGTCTTGCACATACCTCACACACCACCATCTGATTTGGGGGTTTGACTGGGGAACACGTAGCTTGTGTTTTTGCACCTGAGGTTGCCCTGCAGCCTGGCCCAGCGCTGTCCGGGGTCTGGTGGATGGCGTCGTGGTGGGTAGCACAGGTGTGCTCAGATGTGTCTCTAGAGAGTCAACATGGAAGCTTTCAGTTTGTTTCTGCTTTTTGTTCTGGCGAAATCATGTCTTTTTGTTAAATAAATTTGTACTCAGTGGTACTGTTTTTAATGTTCAGCTGGTATTAAATTTTTAGTTCTGGTTTAGATCTTAACTAGACTTGAGTGGGCTGAATAAGCCACTTCACTAACTCGAAGTTCAAAGGAATAGAAAGTAGTCTTGGTTTGATCTACTGGGCTGCTCTTCTGATTCGCAACTTCCTTTTCAATTTGTGATATCTCCTATGATACCTGAAAATGATTGTGCAAACAACCTAAATAATCAGTAGCTAGAAATACAGAATTTTTGGTGCTGTAGTGAGGCCAATGTTTGAATGTTTCTGTGAAAGTACTTAACGTGACAGATTGTGTGATACAAGCAAATCTCCTTAAGTTTGGTCCCTTTTGTGTGCTTAGACCAAAACGCTCGGCCAGGGTACACACCAGTTACACTGTGTACGCGAGTGTGCACGCTGCACAGACTTGTGGGGACACACACGCCCAGCCATGGGGCCCGCGTCCATCTCTGTGGACCCCTTGCTTATGCCTTGCTGCACTCTGAGCAGATCACATACTGAATTCACTCATCTCACAACTCAGAGGAAAGTACTAGCTTCTCCAGTTTACAGGGACACATAGCTGTAAGTGACAGAGGCAGCATTTGACCCAGGACGTCTGCTCTAGTTCAGGCATATCACGTACGTAATAGAGCAATACATGGGTGTGTTTTCATTGGAAGGAGTGGAACGACCTACACAAAAATGTTAAATGGTCACTTAGCCCCAGATTGTTGGGTGAATAAGCCCTGTAGAACATCCTGTGTTAAGCAGCTTTACTGAAGCATAATTTACATACCATAACATTCATCGATACCAAACTGCAATTTGATAAATTTTGCTAAATTTATACTGTTGTTCAGACATCATCACCAGAATCCAGCTTTAGAACACTATTTCACCCCACAAATTCTTTCATGCATGAAATAGTCACTCCCTTCCTAACAATAGTCAACGCATCTATTTTCTATTTTTTGTAGTTTTGCCTTTTCTAAAATTCCATGGGACTGGGATCACCATGTGTTGTTTTATTCATCTGACATCTTTGCACTTGTCATAATGTGTTTGAGGTTCACCCATGGGGTAGCACATTTAGTAATTTATCCCTTTTTCTTGCTGAGTAGTATTCCGCTGCATGGACAGATCACATTTTTTTACCTGTTTGTCAGCTAGTGAGCAATTTTAACTGTTTCTAGTTTGGGGCTATTGTGAATAATCCTAATCTGAACATTGATTGAAAGCCTTTGTGTCATGTTTTCCTTTTTCTTGAGTAGATACCTAGGAGTAGAATTGTTTAGTCACAGGGTAAACTGACTTTTTAAGATTTTAGAATGTCTTTTTCTTTCAAACATTTTTTAAAATCTATTTTTGCATAGGAGAACTGGGCTATAGGCCACAGATATGGGGGTGAGGGGTGGGGGGAGGAGGTGGTGGTAAGAGAATTCACCAGAGACTGAGTGGGGAGCAGGCGCAGAACAGGAAGATCTGCTGAAATACACTGCTGAGGGGGGCAGTGAGAGAAACAGGAGAGGCCTGCTGTGCCATGTGGGTCAGCTCCGTGGCCAGGGATCAAACACAGGCCAAAGCAGTGTCTCTGAGATGGTAGCACTTAGACTTAACCCGTAGACCACCAGGAAGGCCCCAAGATGTCTTTTTTTTGATACAAGCAAGCAATAAAGAAAAGGCTGAAACACATTCAACAGAGCCCCCCAGCCTAGTTATACCCCTCCTACCCTTTCTTTTCCCTTCTCTGCCTTAAGCTGATTAGTCTCTCCCTCTCTCTCCATCTGTCTTTGTTTCCCATCAAATCCAGCTTATTCAGAAATTGTTTAGAGCTTGTCTGAGTTTGGGTTTTTGATTGTTTCCCCAAAAACAATGTATAGTCTACCAGACATCAAAATCTTGCGCGATCTCTGCTTCTTGCCTTATGAACAAAAAAAAGTCATTTAGTGAAATCATATTTTTAGTCACTGTGAGGGATTCTGTCTGGTCTGCAGTGACTACCAAAGCTGGTGTGGGCCACAGCCTGTGAGCTGTAGGGAAAGTCCTGTCAATGTCCAGGGTTAGCCCAGCCCCTGCTCTAAGTCTGCCGTTTCACTCTCCTCCCCTGAAGTTTCTAGGTTTAAGTCTTAAGTGTTGATAATTCTTAATAATAAAATAAACATACATAAATTACTTATTAGCATGTTTTATTTGCATATAGTACCTCATTCAGTCTTTCTAAGAATCTTTTGAAGAAATGGGGTAGAGGATGTGGCCCCTGATTAGTGGTTTAGGAAAACCGAAAGGTAGAAAGGATTGTGTTTTACTCAAAATGGGGGGAATCAAAATTAAAACTCAACTCTCTTGCTTCCCAGCTCCACACTCTTTCCCCCTATGCAGGTTTCCTTGATTGGGAATCAAAGAGCAAGAGTTGGATCCCATTCACAAAAACTCCAAACACAAGAGAAGAATATAGATATAGAAGAACCTGTGGATTCTATGGAATCTCTAGGCTTTTATAGAAGAAGTCAGGCACACTGCCTGACTTCCTGTCAGCACCCATAAGAGCTGTGGCCCCAGGTTTTGTAAACGAGCCATGAGCAGCCCAGTGGACACAGGTCAGGACTGGGCCTCTCGTGCATGGATACAGGCTCACTGCCAAAGCTGGCTGCCCTCACTGCCAAAGCCTCTACTTCAGAGCTCAGCTTCTCTTCTGCTAGAATTTGTCCTTTAACATTCAGCATATTCCCCTGGAACTCAGCTGAAAAATTTTATCAACAACAGATTTCTCTGAGGCAAGTGAGCAGAGAGACAACACATGGAATAGTTGAGTATCAAATGGGGACTCTTGTTTTTTTTCTCCAGAGGGAGCTTTCTCGAGGACAGATGGGTAGAGGACACTGGGAGTGGGTGGAAAAGCACTACAAATTGACACGTCAAGGGCTCCCATCAGTAACAACCTCACAACTCTCCTAGTGGCCGGGCTTATCTCTCTACTCTCTGCCTGGCTCAGAAACACCAACACACACTTGCAAAGCCCAAAGAACAAATGCAGCAAAGCAATTGAGAAACCACAGGAGAGTTCATTTGTAATGATCAGAAATTGCTGGGCCACTTCCAGACCCCACCGTGAGGTTGCATGGAAACTAAATGCTAAATCGTTCTACTGGACCAGATATTTGCAATTCTAAACATGTATGAAAAAGAACTAGATGGAAGACAGTTGGGTAGAAGACTAGTGTTGTCTAGCTTTCTATTAAAAGAGTTTGTGATTGCCTAATAAACTGATAATAAAAAGAATTTATTGGAATACAGCTTCCAGGCTCTATTCTGAGGTCATTGCAGGGTCATCCAGTCTCATTACACTCTACAGGGCCAACCTGGTTAACAATTAAATCCTGGTCATTAAGGAGGAAAGAGGCGGAACATGGCCTGCTATGAGCAGTACTCTGGGCACGCAAATAGACAGTGTGTTGGAGGATAACCAGCTCCTCACTTTGGTACAAAAATTCAGTGCCCGTGTCACAGAGATAGCAACATATACTGAATGTGCATACCACATAGCAGCTCTGACCCAAACTTTCAGCCCCTGCACACTGAGCCAGAGCACCCTTCAACATCAACTTGGTCTCATCTTTGTCTTGGTAACAAAATTCTGCCATTTTCTATGCCCGTGTTTTATTTTTTTGCACTTGAATTGCCCTTCTTTACTTCTGAGTTTCTATACCTAAGTTCTTGGTGTTTGCACTTAAAAATTCTCTAAGTGATGGTGCAGCGGGTTAAAGCACAGCACTGACAAGCTAAAGCCACTTCCCCATGAGTTCAAGTCCCGCCTGCCCCGGAGGTGACCACATGGCGCGGCAGACCTCTCCTGACCCGCCCACTGCTCCCCTCAGCAGTGTACTTCGTCAGTCTGCCTGTTCTGCTCCCCACTCTGTCTCCGGTGAAGCCTCTCGCCACCCCTGAGCCTCTGGCCTGTACCCCAGCTCTGTATGCACAAATAAATCTTTAAAAAAAAATTCTCTAAGATCCATTCTTTACAGAAATGTTGTTGATCTCCAGTATGTTCTACAACAGTGCTTATCAACTATTGCTTTGTTAAATCCAGAACAATGTTCATTCATTCAGCTATGAGTGAGTACCTAATAGTATTAGTAGCAATAATAGTAAAAACATGGCCCACCCCTCTAAGAGGTTCACAGTTAGTAAGAGAGGTGAGTAGACAGTTTGAAAGCAATCTTCATGGCCCCACAGGGGAAATAACAGGTTGGTGGGGCAACAAAAAGGGGGTTCACAGCCCAGGGGCAGGCAGCCAGAGGCAGTTGCAGGTAAGTTTGATCTGCTAGAACCAGAGAAACTCACACATGTTGTACCACAGAGCTGGTCTCACATTGATTGACTTCTAGAAAACGCTCCCCACCCCCCAACCCCGCCACATGCTTACATGTTCTTTTCAAGAAAATATGGAACATTTACCAAGATTTGCATAATTGGACTGACAAAGCAAATCTCGGTAAGTTTCACATATCTGAAAACAAACTATGAAATCTGAGCTCAGGGTAACTCATCTGTCAATAACAAAATGTTCCCATATATTTGGAATTAAGCACACTTTAAATTACTGATAGTTTAGTAGTTATGGATTTGGTAAAATATAGTTTGAATGGAATAATCATAAAAGTATTACAGATGACCACTTGTAAGATACAGCCAAAACTATACTTAGAGAAATGTAATAGCCTGAAATGTAGCTTTAGAGGGGGAAAGAAGTCTGAAATTTAACAAGCAAAGCATCTTCTTCAAGAGGTATGGAAAGCATCTTCTTCAAGAGGTTGGGACAGTGGTTAAATTCTCAGCTCTATCACGCTATCTCCAGCCACTGCAGCACGAGTTGGATCCCAGGCCAGGGAACTAATTCACATGGCGCGGCAGACCTCTCCTGCCTCACCCACTGCTCCCCTCAGCAGTGTATTTCAGCAAAGCCTGTTCTGCTCCCCACTGTCTCTGGTGAATCCTCTCCCTTCCTACCCCCCGACACTCTGGCCTATACCCCAGCTCTTATATGCATAAGTAAATGAAATAAATCTTTTTTTAAAAAAAAAAAAGGAAAAGCAGCAAAGTAAATCAAGAGAACATAAAAGAACTACAGCAGTCCTTGAATAACATCATCTGGTTCAACCTCCTTTTGTTAAAACTGTTGACAAGAGGAAAAGTCTCAATGACTGCACATGTGAAAAAATACTCGAGGACTAGCTTTCATCATAGTCATGTCACTTAAAGTTGCAGTTTCCATGATCCTATGGATGAGGTTCAGTGAGTACTTACTGTATGCACAAAAGCAGAAATTAATGAAATAGAAAATGCACATTTGCAAGAGCACATAACAAAGCCCACAGCTATTTATTTTCAAAGACTGATAAGTTGAGAAATGTAGAGAAGACAAAGTTCCTCTGCACCTTTGTAAGCGTTTTAACCCTGAGAGCTAAGCAAAGTCTGAATCTGTGCCCCTAAAACACAACACTCACTGACTTAATCGAGCCTCAAAAGTGCAAACCTCTAAGGGAGCTCAATTTCCCTCTCTGTTTCATGCAGCGGAGAATTTTGAGACCAGAGAGAAAAGAAACAAGCGTCAAAGTGACATGGCAGTCACAGCACAGAGAACGCAGGTCTTGGGGTGAACGTGCTCTCTCCTCCCCTCCTACCCCTTCCCACCCCTTCCCATTTCACCACCTCAGGGTGGCAGCATATAAAGTGGTATCAGCTGGTTGGGCAAAATCTGGGTTGAGCATCCTCTCTGCTGGGTTGTCCCAAAGAGTATTTTGCCTTGGGTTTGCTCATCCATTAAAAGATAGGGACAATGACTGGATTAGAAAGATGAAAGATGTGGTACATATACACTGTGGAATATTACTCAGCAATCAAAAAAGATAAACGCATGACTTTGTAGCAACATGGATGAAACTGGAAGGGATCATGCTTAGTGAAATAAACCAGAAAGAAAAATACCAGATTGTTTCACTCATAGCAGGAGTGTAAGGGGATCAGGAGGGGAAAAAGAGAGAGAGAAGCAAATGGAATAAAGTAAACGTGAAAACAACAAACAATTATAAACTGGAGACATGTTATGGGGTGGGATGGGGAATGGGATCAAAACTGGGTTGGGAAGAGTGCACCGATGGTGATGGCACATGGGTGAATTGGTGGTGGGAAGCCCACAGGGACTACAACTGAAATGAAAAAATGTACAAAATGAAGAATGATGAGGGGAAAAAAAAGATTAAGGACAACAGCCTCTCGTGTGAAAGTCTCAGCAC